AGTGCCTGGGATTACAGGTGTGCACCACTGCACCCAACGTCAGACTCAGTTTTCCATGAGAAACACACGCATTGCACCATACACTATGGTGTGACTTATTAGAGCCACCATGCTCACCTCCTACCTCACATCTATACAGAATAAACACCCATCAGTCTGATCTGGTTGCCCTCATTTTCACAAAGATTTGTGATTTGTAAGGGGACTTCCCTAGTTTCATGGTGTTTTTTTTTTTTTTTTTTTTTTTTTTTTACTAAGCCAGATGTCTGACTTAGACTTCAAAAATAAACCAAATAGGAAGTATGTCTCAATGATACAGCATTGTTTCTGTTTGTTGCGCTGTTGATTCAAGTCTGAACCAAAAAAAGTACTTTTGGTTCCCATCTGAGTGAACAACTCTTGCTTGGATTCAGTTTGGGGACTTTCTGCTTTTCAAAGGCATAAAGGTTGTTATGCTGATTTAGGGAGAAGTGAAGCGGCATAAACAGGAGACAAAACTCTTGTTACTTTATAAGAATGTGCATTTAAAAAGTAACCCCTGCCAGCTGTGGTGGCTCAGCCTGTAATCCCAGAGACTCCTGTGGCTGAGGCAGAAGGATCACAAGTTCAAGCCCGGGCAATTTAGTGAGACCCTTTCTCAAAACAAAAAATAAAAAGGGCTGGGAATGTAGCTCAGTGATAAATGAAGGATATGAAAAACAACAACCCTCAGGGGTGTGTGTGGGGGGGACAAGAACAATGAGTCCCAGGGAGAGAAGGAAAACAATGGGCTCCTGACTTTCACAATTGTTCCCCCTGACTGCCCAACAGATGCATTCTTCCATGATTCAGTCTAACTAAACCCTATAAAATTCAGACCCCTATTGAAACTGAAGGACACGGACAATAGGCCCCAAGGAACTTCCCTAACTGTTCCCCTTATTATCCTACTACCCCTCCCTAAATAAGCCTACCACCAAAAACTCCCATGACTTGGCAGTGCTGCCAAATAGGGCCACCAAATGGAACTAACTCCTCCCATGACCAGGCTCTGCTAAGACCCTATAAAACGCAAACCCACGTGGTGGCCTTCTGCCATTTTCCCCCTGAAGATGTGCCCCTGGGGTGCTGAATAAAGCATTGCTGGTCCATTGAGGTCTGCCTCTATTTTCTTTTTGTATTCACTTTCATGTGCTTTCAGTAACCATTGCCATATTCTCTCTTGAAAATGTACCCCTCCAGTGTTTGATAAAGCATTGCTGATCTGTTGAGGTCTGTCTTCATTTCTTCTTCTTTCATTTTGCTTTCAGTAAAGCAGCCCTGGGTTTAATCCTCAGTACCAAAATAAGAGTCCCCCTAAAACAAAAACACCCCCAAACTCCCCCAAACAGTAAACCCCTAAAGATTCTCTTGGAGATTTGTTTCTTCAAATTCCCATTAGACCCCAAGCAGCCAGTGGTGATCTTAAGACATCAACATCCTGCTGCAGACCTGTGCTTCACCTGGTCCCAGAGCACATTCTTCTCCCAGTGGTCCTGTACATGGTCTGTGCAACTTGCTCCTGATCTGCATCTTCAAGTGCTTTCCCACATGGCCTCCAGGTTTGGCTTTTTCTCTTTTTCTGGGCTTGTGTTACTCATCAGTCCTCATCTTCCCATGTTGCTGAAAATGGATATTCTCCATCTTCAGGTCCTGCTTTAAATTGTCCTTTGAGCCCTACCTGATCAAGTTTTCCAAAGTCTAATCTCATGTACTGTGTCACAGCTCTTTTCTGCTTAAAAATTTAGGAATTTCCTACTGTTCAAAAACCCTCATACCTCAACTCCCAGGCAGTTTTCAGGCCCTCCCTCAAGTGCCCCTTGAGCCCTTTCCAATCTCGTTTTGTACCAGGCTCTGATCTACAACCTCTAGGTTTAAACCCACTCTCAGGGTTGCTGTTCATACAAGTGTTGACACCTCCCAAGCCACATGCAGGTCTTGTCACCTCCTTGAAAGATGCTGGTTGCTGCCCCAGTGTGAGAATGGCTAGAAGAACCAATAAAATCAGGTCTGCTTCAGAAGGGTATGTTCATTTGGGCACACTCCTTTCTCAGGGCCTGGGCATTTGCTGTCACCTCTTCTGGAAAGTTCCTCCCCCAGGTCATCTGCCTAGCTTACCTCTTCTCTGGCAGGTCTCTTCATGGAACCATCCCTGATCTCTTATTTAAAAATGTACTTCCATGGGGCTGGGGCTGTGACTCCGTTGGTATAGTACTCGCCTAGCATATGTGAGGCCCTGGGTTTGATCCTCAGCATCACATATAAATAAATAAAATAAAGGTATTGTGTCCAACTACAACTAAAAAAATATATATTTTTTAAAAATGCACTTCCTAATCTCTTCCTGGTTTTTCTACTAGAATGAGCATCCCCCAGAAACACCATGCATTCTACTTGTTCATTTAATTCCATTTGCCCTCTCTGGTTCACTGCTGGGCCCCTAGAACCTAGAACTCTAACTGGCTCAGGCTAAATTTTTGTTCAAATGTCCTGCGTGCTCTGATGTTGGACCCAACTGCTGGTGATTAGCAGCACTTTAAGGGCAAACATCAACCCCAGTAGTCAGGGTGCTCCCTGTTGTGGATGTTCCCAAATCTTGTTGGATCAGGTAGCAGGAGAGTGAGTCACTCAGCAAACTTGTCAGCCTTACAAAACACACATCTTGGAACAGCTGCCCACTTGTCACAATTGTAGCAGGTAGAAGGCTGTCACTGCGTGGCCCTCTCTGCAATTCCTACCACTCAGAATCCCCAGGGTACAAGCCAAGCAAATGGTTTGTACTATGGTTTGGAAGTAGTTTGTGTCCCCCAAAAGTTCATGTGCTGGAAGCTTGGTCCCTAGCATAATGCTGTTGAGGTGGCACTTAGAGAGGTACAGTCTAGCCGGTGGTAATACAGCCATGCAAGCACCTCTTTCACAAATAGATTAATGTTTCTAGGGAATTCAAGGTCACGTGAGACTAGGTTAGATGCAGCCACCAGGTACCCCCATCATAATTGTACCATATAAGCTTCTCCCCTAGTCAATAAGATTCTTACAAAGAATGTCAACAGGATTTATGCAGAGTTCATTGTGGTTTGAAGCTTCCTCTCCCTTGTAAATGCCAAGTTTGTACACAAAAGGTGTGACAGACTGTCTCAAGAGTTTGCTGTGCAAAAGTTACTGTTTTTCTTGGTAAAAACTTGTGAAATCTGTCTGATCTAAAATATGGGACAAAGTGTAGCTGTTACATACCCACCCTCATGTAACCACCCCACTGAGTATAAATCTAAGAATTTCCAGACCTCAAGGTCCAGAAATTTTAGACATTAGCCCCTTTTGGACCACTGTAGATTAAATATATGATTCCTGAAAATTCCACAGGTGTCCAGCTTTATCTGTCCTAACTCAAGCTCATTGTTCTGCTTCCTGTCTTACCATGTGATCCATTCTACAGGCAATCCTGCCATGGTGCTACCATCTGTCATGAGGCTCTCCACAAAGCTAATCAGATGCCAATGACAAAATCTTGAATCTCCATAACTCAACTAAATAAACCTCTTTTTATAAAGACTTGGGTATTTTGTTATAGTAACAAAATAGGCTAAGAAAATTCACAATGGAGGGTCAGAGGCACTTTTCCCTAGAGGCAGCTCTGCCCTCTCCAACCTGGCTGAACATGTACCTCTAAAATGTGCACATGGATATCTAAACTATATATTATAGGTTGAGTCACATGAAATGAAAACTTCAGCAATAATCAAAATCATGTGGTTCAACTTAATATCTAAGACTGGGCCAAAACAGAGAGTTGGGAATATAGCTCAGTTGGCAGAGTGCTTGCCTAGCATGCCCAAGGCCTGAGTTCAACCCCTAGCACCATATGAAAAAAAAAAGATGAAGTGAGTTAAAAACTAACTGTGTGGGGCTATGGTTGTGGCTCAGTGGTAGAGCGCTTGCCTAGCATGTGTGAAGCACTGGGTTCGATCCTCAGCACCACATAAAAATAAATAGAATAAAGGTATTATGTCTACCTATGATCAAAAAAAATTTTTTAAATGAACTATGTACAAATAAGCACTCAACATCACAAAATATAAAACCCTACCATCTCACACTCATTAGAACAACTATTATTTAAAAAATAAAACAAAAACAACAGGTGCTGACAAACATGTAGAGAAATGAAACCCTGTTGGGTGAGAATGTAAAATGGCTCAGCCACTGAATTAAAAAATTACCACAAGATTCAGCAATTTCCCTACTGGGTGTATGTCCAAAAAAATTTAAGAGGATAGCAAAGGGATATTTACACACTCATGTTCACAGCTGGCATTTTCACAATAATAGCCAAGAGGGATAAACAACACAAGTGTCGCTCACGGACAGATAAATGGATTAACATGGTATGTGCAAATTATTCAACCTTAGAAATTCTGATGTATGCTATAACATGGATAAACCTTTTCCTTGAGTATTATGCTAAGTGAAATAATCCAGTGACAAAGACAAATATTGTATGATTCCCCTTATGAGAAATATCTAGTCAAATTCAGAGAAACAGAATGTAGGGTGGTGGTTGCCAGAGGTTGTGGGGGTGGGAATGGGAGTAACTACTTAATGGGGAGACTTTGTTTTGCAACAGGAAAAAAGTTCTGGAGATCTATTGCACAACAATGTGTATGTATTTAACACTATTTAACCGTACACTTAAAACTGGTTAAGATAGTAAATTTTAAGTATATTTTATCAATTAAAAATATTTTAAAGTAAGTACATAGTTTCAGTGAGAAATTAAACTTGTGCTCTAAACAGGGCAGCTATAAAATAAAATTTTAAGTTCTTTAGCTCTAAAAATTTTCTGCTACATTCCAGTGCATCATCTTGAAAGATGTCCTTCTTTGAGAACAAGCACTCAGCAAAGTCTAGTGCCCACCCCAAATCCCCAACCACCCTAGGTTGAGAATTGATGGAAAGAACCATTTCACCCACTTTTCCAATTGTGTTTTATTCTAGAACAAATGGTTCTACAACAAAACAATTTTCAACAATACATTTCCCCACTATAATAGCTCCATTTTCCTTCAATCCACAAACCAATTTAAAATGCTATTTAGCTGTGTGTTTAGCAAGGTTTTCAAAGAATTCAGATGTCAGTCCTAGAGGTGGCTGGCCAGCTTCCTCCTCTGCTGATAGGGAGGAGCTGGTGACCGCAGTCTCTGACCTGGGTTTGTGCAGTGAAGCCTCGGCTGACGAGTGGGTGGTGTGGTTTCAGTAGTGTCCCTCTCTCCCTGACCCTGTGTTGCCTTGCTCTGTCATCACTTCCTGCACACAGTGACAGGATGCTGACAAGAAACCAGCAATTGATAGCATTAGACAAGATACACTGAAGCTCCATGCCCTGTCCTCATCCCAGCCTGCATGGGCCCAGGCCCCACCTGCTGGATCAGGCAAGCAAAGACAGTTCTCTCTGAGCCACTACTGTTCCATCTAGGATTCAGTGTCTGGGCATTGTCCTGAATGAACAATAAGTAGACCATTCACTCAGGACATGTGCAAGGCACCTAACAATGAATCCTCCTAACCACCCGTAGGCTTTATCACTCTGCCCATTTTACAGATGAGGAAACAGGTTCAAGGGTAAAGTCACAGGCTTGTCTGAAGTCTCAAAGCTAAGTGGCAGTAAAGATGGGGACTGTAAGTGGCAATAAAGATGGAGTTTGGAGGTCTGTGTCACCTGAGCCCTTGGTTGTCCTAGTAACCCAAAATTTCCCCTCAGAAAACATTTTTATAGGAATTAACCCCCCTCCCAAACCACAGTGTAACTGTTAATTATAAAGCTGAAAGGCACCAGGTACAGGGACACTTTATAGCTGCCATACCTGCCCCAGCAACTATGTAGACTGTTTCCAAGGCTGGCACTTGCTCTATGTAAGGGCAGACACAACTCCTCAGGGGGTAGGGGGGGCAAAATTAAACCATACTGTTTCTCAGGCTTTGTGTAAAGGAGCCTAGTGCTGGATGGGCAAAGAATTCCTGATTTGGGATAATAAATAAATATGCCAGTTCTTATCCAAAGCTTCTCTGCTCTCCCTTGTGAGCTGTGACCTGTGATTCTGATGTCACGCTTGTGAAGGGGCCAAGGGAGGCTGTGGGCTCTCCTATTCTACTGCAGCCTAAAAGGCAGGGGACAGGCACCATGGGACATAAAACTTCTTACAATGGCTGTAACCAGGGTTCCAACTCAGAAATGAGAAGAAATGTCCCCTTTAGAGGCCTTAATTCTTTTAACTTCAGAACATATTTATTCTGAATCTGAACATGACTATGGAGGAAGAGGCAGCAACAAAAACTAAATAAAATTTTGTCACATAAATTAACATAAGGGAACTCCGGGGACTGAACCCCATCTCCCCACCCCACCCCCACCCCAGGGAGATGTTATCCCTGTAGCTAGCACAGCATGGTCCAGGACACATGGAGATAGAGAAAGCCAGTGACAGTCCACCTGCCATTTCCATGGAATCTATAAAGTGCCATCAGAAAATCACAGGAGTCAGGAGAAAGAACTACAACAGCCCTTAGGGACAGAGGGCTGTTCTGTAGGCGGAGGGTGTAGAGGACAAAGATCCTAGCTGCTGTGACCTTGGGACAGGTAGGCTGCATCCTGCCAGTCCTGCCCAGGATGGACAGCCCAGTGCTGCCCTGAACCCTACTTCCCACCCACCACACTCCTTTGTCTCATTCCCTTCCATCCTGTACTCCCCCGGTGCCTCCTGTGGTGTCCTGGGCCAGGTCATCAGGCCAGTATTGGTCCTCCATATACTGCTCCATGTCAGTGCTGCTATCAGGCTCTCTGTCCTCAGGATGGGCCCAGAAGCTACTGGCCGCCTGCTGTTCCCACTGCGCCTCCACCAGCCGGTACAGCTCCATGGCTGTTGTGGCATCTTCCACGGATGAGTGCCCATGCTGGCCCACCTGTGGATGAGAACCACTACATCAATGCATGGTGACACAGGCCTGAGAAGCAATGCCCACTCCCAGGGCTTTTTGTAGGGATCCAAGAACACATACCCCAGAATGTGTTCAGAGAAGAGTTGGAACCTTAGCTGCCTATCACAGGCCACCTAGCTTCTCCAAGCCTGTTTTCCATGAATATAAGACATGGTAAAAAGTCTGATTCAAGTGCTATAAGACCAGATGGATAATGAATATGAAGCACAGTGGGAGCAAGAGTTACCAGACCCCAGATCAAAGGTTCTATGTCTGATAGTAGGAGAAAAGAGAGCAACCTATGGGGATACAAGGACAGAGCCAGGACTTGGGTAGGGGACAGACCTGGAAGAGATCTGGAAGAATGTGGCTATCATAGTGACACTGGGAAAGGTTGTAGAAACACGAGGGCAGCCTGTGTAAGTGGGAGACCCATGCTTCATGCAACATGACCTGGGGAGAAGGAAGAATGGCAAGGTACCCCTGTGGCCCGGCAGCCATGGAGGCCAAGTGGGCCTTGCTCCCTCCCAACCACCCCTGTACCACACACCTGGATCTTCTTATGCAGCAACTGCAGGGCCAGGTCCTTAAGAGAGACTCTGGCTCGGGTGTGGAGGTCAGGCTGAATGAGCAGGTTTGGGACATAAGTGGTATCACGGGTCTGGCTCCGAGGGTGGACGTACTTGAGGGCCTGGAAGTCATTGTGCAGCGCGTGGCCCACTACCACCTTGCCCTTCAGGAGCTTAAGGATCTGTAAATGGAGAGAGGAGGCATGAAGGCCCCACTGTCAGGCTAGTAGCAGACATACCCTGGAGGGCCCCTCAACAACATGTGCATGGACCGCAGCATTTGGAGGGAGGCAGTACAGAAGAGGGAGACCATGCTACCCCAAGTTTGAAACCAGGCCCTTCTTCTGAGTAAATTAGTGGTACACTTCAGTTCTCTGCACTGTACAAGGGGAACACTACCAATAGCATTCCATGGGGTGGTTGTCAGGATTATGGGGAGTCATGGAGGGGTCAAGTCTTCTAGTCTCCAACTACAAGCAACTCTTCACTGCTGGCACAGGCTTTGCTCTCCACCTAAAGACTTCACCATCAGCCTTCTCACCCCACCTGGCTCCTCCCCAACTTGTCTCAGGCTGCAAATCTCAGCTTCAATGCCGTCCTCAGGAGGCCTTCCCATGATTTCCCACTACCACTATTCTCTCCTTCAGGGGACACATTTTCTAATCACATATTTAGCTCTCAAGATGATCTAACCACCTCTTTCTCCCTGTAATTCCCAGGAGTACAGGGACCCTACTTGATTTGACTAGTAATGCTTTGATGAAAGCATTCCATTTATTTATTATTAATTATTGATCACTAAAGACCTGTTATTTGGCAGGGTGTGGTGGCACATGCTTGTAATCCCAGCAGCTTGGAAGGCTGAGGCAGGAGGATCATGATGTTTAAAGCCAGTCTCAGCAATAAGTGAGGCACTAAACAATTCAGTGAGACCCCTGTCTCTAAATAGAATACAAAATAGGGCATGGGATATGGCTCAGTGGTCGAGTGCCTGAGTTCAATCCCTGGTACCCAAAACAACAACAAAAACAAAAATAGCATTATTTGGGTGAATTCAACATAACAGTATCTCGCACAAGCAGACATACCATAAATGGAAACTCTTGTGAGTATTAAAGAACACAGTCCTTTTTTTCAGGATATTGTCACCTTGCCTCTCTGTGCACTAACTTCCTTCTCACCCTCTACACCTGCTTTCCTTTGCAGCTCTGGCTACCTGCAAAGGGCAGAGTGTGCTTCTTTCCTCCCTGGTCAAAAATCTCCTCACACCCAGGGAGGCTGTGTCCAGGGTCATGGGCCTGGGGTCTCCTTATCACCAGCTGCTTGTCTCCCAAGGTCTAACTCTGCTGGCAATAAACTACTTTCGTGGCAGATGGATAAGACACACTTAGACTTTATGGTGGGGTGCATTACCACACTAGTCTCACAGCATAACCTCCACCCAACCACCAGTCATAAAATGATATCAAGTCCACCCCAGGCTAGCTCAGTCTGGACAGAAAGCGGTTCTGCTCCTGAGTAAATGGAAGGGACCAAGGAGCTAGAAGGCTCATCACAGGTCTATCTTCCTTTTTTATTTTTAAGGTACTGAGAACTGAACCCATAGGAGTTTTACCACTGGCTACATCCCTAGCCCTTTTTATTTATTTTGAGACAGGGTCTCACTAAGTTGCTGAGGATCTCATAAAGTTACTTAAGTTATCTCAAATTTGGAATTCTCATTCCTTAGCCTCCCAAGACACTGGGATTATAGGTTTGTGCCACCACCTGTGGCCATAAATCTACCTTCCTACTGCTTCTATTCCTGCTCCACCTGACTGATAAATAATAATCTTTTCAAAGAAACATTTGGGCCATAAATGTATGGAAAAGGAAGACAAAGATGAAGTATACCAATATTTTCCAAACCTGCCTAATTCAAATAACCCAGAATCATTAAATAGCAGTTGTAATGCTTGTTTTTAAAAAATGCAAATTCATTATTTTGGGGGAGATACCAGGAATTGAACTCAGGGGCACTCGACTACCAAGCCACATCCCCAGCCCTATTTTGTATTTTATTTAGAAACAAGGTCTCACTTAGTTGTTTAGTGCCTCACTTTTGCTGAGGCTGGCTTTGAATTCGAAATCCTCCTGCCTCAGCCTCCCAAGCTGCTGGGATTATAGGTGAGTGCCACCTTGCGCAGCCTAAATTTGTTCTTATATTAGATCAATCTATCAAATATATCAATTATATTATTGATGTAATAGAGCACAGCCTAAGAATGTGAATTTCACCTTGGCTTATGCCTAATTTTATCCTTGAGAAACACTAAATAAAAGCAGGAAAAACTAGTCAGCTGAACTGGATCAGTATAAAGGCACAATATATGCAAACCTCAAATAGCTATCAGCAACTTTGTTCACTTGTGTGATGTTCCATACCTCTTCAAATCTATTTCTATTTGTACCAGTTTTTTTGTGTGTGTATGTGCATGGTATTGCAGCCTGAACCCAGGGGTGCTCTACCACTGAGCTACATCCCTGCCCTTTTTATGAGAAAGGGTCTTGCTAAGTTGCCTAGGCTGGCTTTAAGCTTTTGATCCTCCTACCTCAGCCTTCAGAGTTTCAGGGATTATGGACGTGTGCCACCAGCCTCACTTTCTTGTAGCACTTTCTGAGAAAACTCTTCTTCCACACACCAACTTACAATTAACCCAAACAGCAACCCTCCTGACACCTGTTTCCATAAGCAAAACTTCAGGTCTCTGTCAAGATAAAGTTCCCAACTTATTGGTGCGTTATGCATTTCTTAACCATTTAACATGTGCAAAACTGTGTTATCATTTATTATTAGATTTCGCTTACATTTCTGTGATATTGCTGGCCAGTTCTTTTGAATATTGTATAGCAACACCATTTCCCCAGAGATGCTATGATTTTTACGACACAGGTTTCCTTAGTATGATTGTTTGTAGAAATGCACATTGGAGCCCTCCCTAGATTTGAGACATCCTAAATCAGAATCTTCATGGAGGAACCAGGTGGCAAGGATCTAGATTGTTAATAAGGCTTTAGCTATTTCCTATGGTCAAATGTATCTGATAATTCCTGTTAGAGTGGTCCCAAAACTAATCAATTTTGTTCAAAGCACTTAAAAACTAACATGAGGAAGTATGTCAGAATATCAACACCTAAGGCAATAGAACTGCGGGCCTTGATAATTTTACACAGGCACATAGCACTCTCATAACAGAATTCAAGAAAGGCACAGTGGTGCACACCTAAAATTCTAGTGACTTGGGAGGTTGTGGCCAGAGGATAGCAAGGGTGAGGCCAGCCTGGGCAACTTAGAGAGACCTATCTTGAAATAAAAAATAGAAAAGGGCTGTAAGTATAGCTTAGTGGTAGAGCACCTCTGGATTCAATCTCTAATACCAAATAAATAAACAAATAAAAATAACAGCAAAATTCAACATGGAAGTTGCTTATGTAGCCACCATCCCCACAGCCCTCCCACAAACACCAACCCCCAATCCTTTCTGGAGGCAGAGTCAGAATTTTTCACTTACCCTATTCAATGGAAAAGGAACCTACTATTTGGAAAAGTGAGGTGATTTTTTCAAGGTCTCTCACAACCAGAGGCAAAGTGGTAACTCAAAGTCAGGGCTGCTCTGCCCAACTCTTTGCACAGACCCACAAACCCCCCACCCTATCCTCACCTCTTTCTGGGCCACCTGGAAGGGGATGGCCTTGCGCATGTGCTGCCGAGTGATGCCGCTCCAGCGAGTGCGGTAGTCAACGATGGGCATCTCAGGCCGAATGTACTTGTCATAGAGGACGTCACCATGGTAACTCACCACAGAGCAGCGGGCAAGCTCACTCACCCGCCCTCGAGGTCCTGTGCCCACCATCTCACAGTCAATAGCTACACACTTGCTGGGCAAGGGCCCTGAAGCTTCCCTGGAGGTGAGCCTTTTGCTATATGGGCCACCACTGCCAAATTCAGCCCTGGGATGCTGCCTCCCACTGCCAGCAGCTTCAGCACCTGACGGCACCTCCAAAGGGGCGGGCAGCAGGGAGGAGCCTTGTTCCGGTGGCATGGTCAGCAGCCCCTGCTCCTGTAGCAAGGCCTTCCGGGCCATGAAGCGTTGGTGCTGTCGGCTCCTCCTCTTGTGCCTTCTTCGAACCACATCCCTGGCACTGGGGTAGGTAAGGGACAAGCATGGGCACTGAGCAGACTCAGGGGCTTCCTCAGGTACCATGCCAGTCAGCTCTGAGCTCAGGGCAAGGGAAGCCTGGGAAGCAATCTTTCAATCGGGTGGCAGCCTGGAGAACACATAAGCAGAGGAGGTGTGTGAGGAGTGTACCACGCAGTTCTTCTACCCTGCAGTGCTGCATAGCTGAGCTGCCCTAGAGTGGAGAGCTCAAGGTACCTCATCAAGTCCAGGACCTACTTTATTAAAAACTGTACTCTTATGTAAACAAATACCAGGTGCAAATCACTGCTCTAAGTACTGCATGGACTCGCTCCATCTCTCCAATGACTGGGCAAAGTATTATTACCCTTGTTTTATAGGAAATAAAAAACAAAACCTGAAGCATAAAGGTTAAGGAATTTAGTAAGACATACAGACTAATGAGAATCCCAAACCTATATTCTCAACCTCAAGCCACACAGCTCACCTCCATATTATTTTACCCAAGAATTTTAGTGGGGGCTGGGGATGTGGCTCAAGCGGTAGCGCGCTCGCCTGGCATGCGTGCGGCCCGGGTTCGATCCTCAGCACCACATACCAACAAAGATGTTGTGTCCGCCGAGAACTAAAAAATAAATATTAAAAATTCTCTCTCTCTCTCCTCTCTCACTCTCTCTTTAAAAAAAAAAAAAAAAAGAATTTTAGAGGTCCAGTTATAGGGAAATAAAATTCATAAAAAAGTATTCAAGTTGAGCATCCCTAATGCAAAATCCAAAATCTGAAACTTTTTGATCACTGACAATTATACTGTGAACAAGGCACAACAGGATTTAACCTGGATCTTTATAAAACTGACAACAGGCAGAAGGAGGATCCATGGATGGCTTCCTGGAAGAGGTTATATCCATGTGATGAACAGTAGTAACCCTCCAAGTAGAAGGGAGAGGACTAAGTGGAGGGCAAAGGCTTGACAATGGAGTAGCCCACAGGTGAGGTTGAGGGACCCACCAGCCACTTGATGCCACTGAAGTGTAAAGCATAAATGGTGGTAGCTGAGTGCACTACTCCTTTTTACTATTTTATCTTCTGCCTCCAACTTTGGTGGCCCTTCCACAAAGCATCCCTACCCCAGGCTGGTGTCCCCAGGTTGTTTTCTGCTGGTTAAGGGAATGAAAGAGCCCCAGAGGCACCTAGAAAAGTTACTGAAATGTTGCTCAGTATCCCTGACCCACAGCATTAACTGTCTAGTTGAGGAGCAAAAAAATTCACCCTGTGCCCTGCCTGGCTGCATGGGGAAATTACTTTACACCTCAGTAAGTTACATGGTCTACCTCAGGGCTCTCTGAAGGTAGGGACAGAGCCCGGTTTGTCTCTGTCTCTTCTCTAACAAGTCAGCCTGAAACCTGGCTTGTTATAGGCCACCATCTTCAGAAGCTTCCTTGAAGGAAGCTCAAGCTGGGCCTACTATTAGCCAGACTGTGGGGACTAGAGAGCTGGAGGTGACTAAGTTCCCTAGGACACAATCACCTCTAGGGAATTCGTGGCTTGGTAGGGATAGAGAGAGTTCAAAAGTTATAAGGGCATGCTCAGGATGGGAGTGATGAGTTGAAAAGGAAGGGTACCTGGTAGCTTAGGCAAGCACAAAACAAGCAGAAGACCTGGAGTAGGGAATGCCTGGCAGTGGAGGGGACACTCTGCAGTGTTTTAGACAAGTCATCCAGGGAACTCAGGAATGGAAGGACATTCAGAAAGAGAAATCACAGGCACAAGGCCCAGAGCCAAAGCACACCCACTGAGGGAGGGCAAAGGGTTCAGTGCAACAACTAAAAAGCCAGGAGGTAGACAGCCAGGAGAAAAGTGAGTGGGGATGGCAAGAGAACTGTTCCTGGAGAGTGAGTACAAGTTTGGGCTTAATAAAAAATTGATGGGGAACCACTGAGGGTTTTAGAGAGAGGGGGGAAAGAAACACACCTGCCTTACAGGAAAAACAAGCCTGGATTGATTAAGAGCAAAGGTTTAAAGAAATGGGAAGGGGGCAGGAAGTGAAGTGAAGTGCCAAGTTTGCTGATGCCTGCATTTGCATGAGGATTCCTGGCACCTAAGCCAGGGCGAGGCTTGGTGACCCCATCCTGACTCATCTATCCTCAGCTGTTCATGGCTTCCACAAGAAGCGCTCTCCTTTAAAAAAAAAAAAAAAAAAAAAAAAAAAGGCTTTTAACTGTAAGCAACTCCCTCATACTGACAAAACACACCTTAGAATTCAGAACCTCAATTTTCCTTAGCCTGGCAATGCAAGAAAACCTGGCCTAATGAGACCTACACCAGTAACTGACTTCTGGGTGGAAGTGAGGAGCTTTCCCCTCCTCTACTTGGGGTTGAAAGCTCTGTGGGTCAGGAGCTGAGACCGTGGTTAGAGTGAGTAGCTTTCTTGATCCTGCTGGCAAGGTTTTAAAGAAGTCAAAATTCGATTCCCTAAGAAAAGGTCTCTATGGCCTTGTTCCAAGAGAAAATAACAGTCCTTTTCCATATATCCTGGTCTTGATGACACGTCACAACCAACAATTATCATGGGCACATCTTGGGACCCCAGATGTTTATAGCTGAGGATAAGTTTCGCTCAAATGGCACAATCCTTCAGCAAAGACAAATACAAATTCGTTTTCCAACCTGGATCCAGGGCTCTGAGAGTCAGCGCAGACACCTGGCTCTCCGATTAGGAGTCCCAAGTCTAAGGGAAGGGCCTCAGCGCAGAGTCCTCTTAGTACAGGCCCCACAGGAACCAGAGTCAGAATCATCAGCGGGCAGATCAGGAAGGAGCGAGCAAACCCAGGGCTTCTTACTAGGTTAAGGCTTCGGAAAGACAGTTAATTACTCGAAACATGAGGTTTGTTACGCTGCCGATTCTCAGGCCTATTCCCACCCAGTCTGAACTGCCCTTTGGTGACCAGGGACCGAGAATCTGTTTTTTAAAACCGCCTGACCCCACCCCCCAAGCTATGATTCCCAAAATCGCCAAATTTGAGAAAGCCTGGCTCACTAAGGTTCCTCGCATTACTACAAAATTCTCGGGATCAAGAAAAACAAGGCGAAAGAAACACCACACGACCTCGCCGCCCGCTGGGCGTTCTCCTCGGCAAGACGCGAGGGAGGCCCGGCCTTACCGGGAAGGGCTCGGGCGTTGGGCACTTACTGGCCGCGGCGTCCAGGCCGAGCCGGGATGAGGGAGGCGGTACCCAGGCCCGGCCCCCGTACCTGCCCGCCCGAAGCGTGTGGTCGGCGGAGGCTAGGCGCCCCTACCCCACCGCGACCGCCAGCGGCCCTGGACACGCCGCGCCAGCCCGCCCGAACCGGCAACGCTGACCAGGGTCCTAGTGCTCACCTGAAACCGCGGACGTCTCTTCCGGCGAGCACGTGGCGCCCAGGCAGCTAGCAGCTCCCGCATGCCCGGGCAAGTCCGGCTACGGCTGCCCGCCCATTGGCTCGCTGGATGCAGCGCCCGCCTATGACCTCTTCTGATTGGTTGAGCCTGCCCAGATGCGGTAGGTGTTCGCGAGTCGAAGGGCGGGAGCTCGCGGAGAGGGCGTGTCCGAGCCGCCGGGTGGGAGGGCAGTTTTAAAGAGAACCCGGCGGAGCGTGCTTCAGCTCCCGGTTCCAACCCGCCTTGCTGCTAGAGTGGAGATGGTGTTTCTGTGAGCCAGCCTCGTTCCACCCAAGGCCGAGTGAATTACAGTGTACACCCACATCTGCAGAGTGAGAGCAGCAGCCACTGCCTCCTCCAGAATTACGGAGATTGAGTGAGATCACAAAAGTACACCGATGGGCTCTATTTACTTTCTGTGCACTACTTTTTCATTTATTCTTTTGTAATTTCACTCGTGTAGGGAAGACTTAAATTTACTCTTTTCCTTCTGGAGCTTCAGTAAGTATACGTGTGGAAAAAACTGAAAATAGGTACAACAGGAAGAACCTACAAATCGTATTTTTTGCCTGAGACAGGGAATCCTGAAAATACAAGATGACTGAACCCTATGAGGCGCTCCTGTGGATGAGGGTTTGTGCTCCAGGGGGAAGGAAGGTGGTATGAAAGTTTCAGGGGAGGAAAGATATGCACAGCAAGCAACTGTTTTCCTGTTATGCAGAAAAACTGGTTAGAGCCACCAGTTCCTGCTTAACCCCTACCCTTTCCCTTGCCCCAGTCTTCCTGTGGAAAGATCCCTCCTAAGTAGAAAGTGGAATATCCGATAGGAATGCCTCCGTTTGAATACCTTGTTTACTAATATTGATAAATGTAAATTTCTTTTACAAAAGGATGGCTTTTCAAACATTCATGTGACAGAATTGGGGTGATTGTGGAAATTTGAAAAATTCTCTCATACAATGAAATGCTGTATGTTTATTTTGATCTTGTCTACCACTAATAATTGCAATACATCTCAATCTGGAAGGGAAAAAAATGAACATCGAACCTTATGTTCACAAAGTTTTTTTTCAGTTAGCAAATTTAAATTTATTGACATAATTTTGTGGGAGAAATAAGTGAATGCATCATAAAATATTGCCAAGCATGAAAATGTATTATGGTTGGATTAAACTTCATAACAGAAGTCGAATGTAAATTCGAGGAGAAAAAAAACATTTTGCATCTAATGTCAAGTCAGAAACAAATCCAGATTTATTTGAAAGTATTATTTTGGGCATGGAATGGGGAATGGTGAGCTGAGCACTCTGGCCATGACCTCTCCATGTTCCCAAGGATTAGACAAAAAGCATTTCTTTTTTTTAGGGAAGTGTAAACATAAGCTAGAAATGGGATGAATAGAAGTGACATGATGGGATAGTACACAGGAAAATGTTTTATTTTGGGACCATACTATTCTTAGGAGGCCGTTAAGGAGGGATTGTATAGTGGTTTAGGCTGAGAGAGGGCCAAAATTGGGGGAACATGGGGAAGGGAGGGAGCCAAAAGCTTAATTAAAGTTTAGTCATCCATATTGTTTCAGTTATTCAGTGGGCCAAGCAGTTCATGAGATCACTGATGAAGTCAAGAATGGGATCCCACACTCAGAAAATAGGAGGAGTGCAAGTTCAAGACCAGCCTGGGCAACTTAGATCCTGTTTCAAAATAAAATAGGTCTTGAAATGTGCTCAGCATCATCAGAGGACACAGTAGGGAATCCATGAGTTTTATCTTAGTTGGAGAAGGGTGTTTCTTTGTAGTTATTCATTGCTAACACAAAAGGGTGAGGGGTGGGTTTCTTAACCATTGCTGTTTTTGAGGAGCACAGGTCTTTGGGTAAAATTAACATTGTCAGTAAGAACAGTTAATTCATGTACTTTAAAAAAGGATAATGTTAGTATATGCGCAAAACCAGGGCTGCAAAGGCCCCAGTGTATGATTTTTGATCACAAAGAAAGAACTTCTGGACATTTTATTACTTATGTGCTCTTTGGAAGTAGAGGGCCTGGATACAATGGAGGGCTGCACATACAAACAGGAGAATATATCTACACAAGAGATTGCATGCCTACTGCACACATGGGTTTCTTCATATGTTTTATGAGTATGTGATTCTGTTTCATAACCAAAATCATTCTGCTTCAATCCCCACTAAAGACTGGAGATGAGGGAAGCGGTCAGCTTCCTTCCTTCTTGCCCCTCACAACACATTCTTAGAGGTCCTTCTTAGTTCACCTTCAGAAACAACAAACCTTCTTGGCACTGACTAGTGTTTACCCCAACGGTATCGAATCACTACCTAATTTAGAGGTGGTTGCATTCCTTTGATATATTTCTTAAGAGGTCAATATTTAACTGGGTGTGGTGGCACATGCTTATGATCCCAGCCACTCAGAAAATAGTAGGAGTGCAAGTTCAAGACCAGCCTGAGCAACTTAGATCCTTTCTCAAAATAAAATAGGAYTGGGAATATAGTTCCTGGGTTCAATTCCCAGTGCCGCAAATAGTAATAATAATAATGACACCTTCATAACTACTCAGTTATGATAATAATATTATCAAGCAAAAAGTTTGAAACCTCAGGTGTTCAATAAGGATGTTATCTTGACTGTGGATGGCAGTGCTCCTAGTCCTGCTTCCTTAGGAAAACCACTGATCTCAACTGCCCACTCCTGTACTGGAAATATCCCTTCCTTCCACTTCTCTAGGGACCTTACAATCTGGAAGCACTTGAGAGGTAAGACTTGATTTGTTTACTTATAAAACATTATGCATGAATTATGAATTCTTGCTGCTATGTATACCTATTGTGAGAACTATTCTGGGCACTGTGGGGATCCCCATGGTGCTGGACCAAATGCAGACCTGAAATTAGTTGTTGATCTGGTCTGGGGGCTTTTCTGTTTGTTTTTGATTTTTTAAATTTCTTTTTTAAAAATTATTCATTTATTCTAATTTGTTATCCGTGACAGCAGAATGCATTTTGATTCATAATATACAGAGCACAATTTTTCATTTCTCTGGTTGTACAGAAAGTAGAGTCACACCATTCGTGTCTTCATACATATACCTAGTGGTCTGGTATTTTTAGAGCAACAGTTTTCTAAGTGTGGTCCTAAACCAACATCATAGGCTTGACATGGGAATTTGTTGGAAAATCAGGAGGTGGGGCCTAGCAATCTGTCTTTGATCAATCTAACAGCTGATTCTGATGCATTTAAGATCATTGTGTTAGCCAGGCATGGTGGCACACACCTGTAATGCCAGTGACTCAGGAGGCTGGGGCAGGAGGATTGCAAGTTTGAGGCCAGCCTGGGCAACTTAGAGAGACCCCACCTCAAAAAATAAGAAGGGCTGTGGATGTGGCTCAGTAGTAGAGTACCTCTGAGTTTAATCCTTAATATCTTCCCCACCCAAAAAGAAAGAAAAACTGATGTGATTCTGCAATCTGTATACGGGGTAAAAATGGGAGTTCATAACCCGCTTGAATCAAAGTGTGAAATATGATATATCAAGAACTATGTAATGTTTTGAACAACCAATAAAAAAAGAAAAAAAAAAAAGAAAAAGATCCTTTGTGTTACAGGGTATGAAGCTGACTAAACTCTGGGAGCTAAATGTAAATCACTCATTTTATCCAAGCAATTTCCCCTCTTAGCTCTTTTGACCCAGCAGTGGCCAGATTTTGGACATAACCTGTCAACAAAACAATTGTGCCACTTTTATACACTCAACTCTTGAAAAGTCTCAAGATTCTTAGACCCAGGTGAATCTCGAATTGTTAATTTTTTAATGGAAATCGTACAGATTCAACCCAGGGAAATTTCTATGCTAGTTTCTCCACATTTAAAAATTACTCCTTCAATCAGTGGTCCTCAGTCTCAACTGAACGTGAGGAGCTTTAAAAATTACTGGAGCTCGGGTCACACCCCAAGGTTCTGTTTTAATCGGTTTGGGGTGGAGCCTGAACAGGGAAATTTTCAAAGCTGGTCCGTTCTGTTGCGTTGATGACAGAACTGCGACTAAAGAAGTTACCTAGAGAATCCAGCAGAGGGCGTCACGTCCATGCTTATCCGGGGAAACCTGACAGCTGCAGTAAACGACCAGGCTGCCGCATCGCTGCGGTTAAGGCTAGAAACTCCTGCCCTGACCCTGGAGTCCCCCGACCCTTTTGTGTTCTGGGACTCCTAGAAAGTTACTTTGCTGAATGACTGAGAGGCAAGTCGAGACCTCTCTAGTCCTGATTTATGTGTTTTTAAGATGGGAAGGGATTTGGCCTTCCTTCCTTCTATCATTGTATATTGAACACCTTGAAATGGTCAAGATGCTGATTTAAGGAAGGGAAGCATCAACACTGAAATGGATAATCAACTCCTACATGAGAAGGGAGACTAGTAGTGAGATGGTAGTTTCCATCTGTTCCTATTTCAGGAAAGGAGACCTGTGGTGCCCAAGGATGATAAAGAAGACAACCAGGAATAATATAAAAAAGGAGGCCGAAGAGACCGAAATATGGAGACCTTGTATACCTTGATGTATTATGACACCTCATTTGCCTAATTGTCATAATGCCTAGCAAGGTGATTTAGTTCATTTTACAGTTGAAGAATTCAAGGCTCAGGGATGTTAAGTGACTGGCTTAAAATCACACAGCTGTTAAGCAGTAGAGTCAAAATTGAAACTGGGGTGTGTTTGACTTAACAGGGACTGTCTTATCCATCTCTCAAATTAGGAGTGTACTCCACTTCCCTCCCCAGATGTGTTAGCAGAGAAGGATTTCTTCCCCTTCCTTTCCACACCAGCCCTGGATACCGAGGGTTGCCTGGAAGAGATTCCACTCTGTTCCCTAGCTCTGCCCATCTTGTCCATCAGACCCCTTTCCCCCTGTGAAGGACAGACACCT